GAATATGTATGTCGACCCATATCAATTAATTTGTAGAATGTATACTCATAAAAATTACTCATGTGCCAGGAACCAGATTTGAACTGGTGACACGAGGATTTTCAGTCCTCTGCTCTACCAGCTGAGCTATCCCGACCAGTCACGACACATCGCATCATCCTCATTTTATTTTAATATAGGACTTGGGTCTATGTCAATTAGAAAAACGAAAAAAGTATTACAAAGTATTATACAGGCCCTGTATAGAATTTCTTGGATCTTCAAAAAAAATTCTAAGTTTCAGTACAAGTAATGATATATATTGTTAATTATTCAAATTAAATTTTAAATGGGGATTCCTTGCTCAAAGATGTTCGTTTGTACGTGTATCATATATATAACACACGAGGCTTGTGATAAGAAAAAAATTTCCGCTCAGATCCGTTTGTGAAAGAGTAGAATGGATGAGAAACATAACGAATTTTGAATCGCTAACAAAATGATAAAAGATAAATAATTAGGGAGTCAACCGTTTTGGGGATAGAGGGACTTGAACCCTCACGATTTCTAAAGTCGACGGATTTTCCTCTTACTATAAATTTCATTGTTGTCGATATTGACATGTATAATGGGACTCTATCTTTATTCTCGTCCGATTAATCAATTCTTAAAAAGATCTATCAGACTATGATGGAGTGAATGATTTGATCAATGAATATTCGATTCTTTTTTCAATTTTTAATCGATTCACAACAATTCTTTCGTTTTTCATATAAATATAAAAAATACAGATTCGAGCCGTCATTAATCATTTGGAGATAGTATTGCAGTACTATACGTATGCATATAGGTTTATCCTTCATCCTTTCGGAAGTTTCGATGTAAGGATTCCTTTACTAACACAATGCAGCCAACTCCATTTGTTAGAACAGCTTCCATTGAGTCTCTGCACCTATCCTTTTTTATTCTCGGTTTATGAAACCCTTGTTTGTTTTAATAAAACAGGATTTGGCTCAGGATCGCCCATTTTTAATTCCAGGGTTTCTCTGAATTTGAAAGTTCTCACTTGGTAGGTTTCCATACCAAGGCTCAATCCAATTAAGTCCGTAGCGTCTACCAATTTCGCCATATCCCCTTTTTTGTTTTGTGATGTGATTAGGATCACATTATGATGCCGTCACCCTTTTTTCTTTTCTTTCATTTATATTATGCTGGAACCGTTGAATTCATTAGATACCGGTTCCTATATTGAAAAGTGTTTTCTACTATTTGATTTCTTGTCTATTTTCTTTGATCTCTATCGGAGACCAGTATTTGGTCCAATCAGAAATGATTCTATCATTTCTATATCAGAAATTCAATATAGATATATACCGCATAACATATATATTATACTATATATAATATATTTATTATACTTAGATATGCCCCTATTTCTATCCGTGCAATTTTGAATACTTGATCGGTTCTTTTTTTTTTTTTTTTTTTTTTTCATTTAGCTTTCGCCTTTTCGAATGAAACCAGAGGAGTGTTTCATTATGATCTGAATTACACTTTTATCTTTCATTTTATTCTTATCCTTTTCTTAGGGCAGACCCTCTATAACATAACAAAAAAAAGGAAAATTTGAGTATTATTAATTTAAAATTTAATTACTAGCCATAACTAATAAAATGGCTATAAACAATCATTCCGTTAATTTATAATTAGAAGATAATTCTAAATAAAATATATAAAAAAATTAAAATATATTTCATATATAATATATATGAAATATAATAAATATCAAAAAACATAGTACTATAGAATAGTAAAAAAAAAATCTTACTATTTAATTAAGCTAATTAAGATATTAATTATCGATAAACATATATTTGAGAAATAGATCGAAATTTAATATTCAAATATCCAATATTTTTGGAAATATTCTTTATATATATATTTTATATATTTTTTTTTATTATTTTTATATAAATAATATTTCTTATGAAATAGCTAAGAATGAACAATTAATATCTCAGTAGTTTACTAAATTAGTATATGTGTACAATTTATGTTATGCGAGCCCGCTTAGCTCAGAGGTTAGAGCATCGCATTTGTAATGCGATGGTCATCGGTTCGATTCCGATAGCCGGCTTTTCTCCATTTGTTTGATTTTTTACATAATTAAATTGATAATGTGAAATCAAAGTGAAAAACTTCTTTCCCTTTTCCCAAGGGTCACTGATCTATTTCTATTATTTCGTAGGAACTTCCAATTATGAATAAAAATTGGATTGGAGGAGTTCGGTCTCTGTAGAACAAATCAATTAAGATAAGAAAAGAACCCTAAATTTTTATTATTTTAAATTCTTTTTATTTATATAATACAATTATTTATATACAATAAGGTACGGATATTGATACAATTCCTCTAATTATTTATTCTTTGTAATACTTCAGTAAATTTCGCTTAATTTATCATATTTTAGTTTAGTTTTAATTTTGTTTTATGAAATTTCATAAAAAATAAGGAGTCTTTATGTCGCGTTACAGAGGACCTCGTTTCAAAAAAATCCGTCGTCTGGGGGCTTTACCGGGGCTAACTAGTAAAAAGCCTAGAGCCGGAAGCGATCTTAGAAACCAATCGCGCCCCGGCAAAAAATCTCAATATCGTATTCGTTTAGAAGAAAAACAAAAATTGCGCTTTCATTATGGTCTTACAGAACAACAATTACTTAAATACGTTCGGATCGCCGGAAAAGCCAAAGGGTCAACAGGTCAGGTTTTACTACAATTACTTGAAATGCGTTTAGATAACATCCTTTTTCGATTAGGTATGGCTTCGACTATTCCTCAAGCCCGCCAATTAGTTAACCACAGACATATTTTAGTTAATGGTCGTATAGTAGATATACCAAGTTATCGCTGCAAACCCCGAGATATTATTACAGTGAGGGATGAGCAAAAATCCAGGGCTCTGATTCAAAATTATCTTGATTCACCCCCCCGTGAGGAATTACCAAAACATTTGACTCTTCACCCATTCCAATATGAAGGATTAGTCAATCAAATAATAGATAGTAAATGGGTCGGTTTGAAAATAAACGAATTGCTAGTTGTAGAATATTACTCTCGTCAGACTTAACCATAACTAAAATAACAAGGGTTCGGGCAATTTTGCCCCCTTCATTTTGGCTTAAGTAAAGGGACCCGGGGTAAGTAAGGTAAGGGGTTTCATCTGGGGATTTTTCTCTTATTCATGTATCATAGATCGGTAGGGTATTTTCATTCCTTGTCGATTTTGTCCAGTATTTTCGTACCACAGAAATTCGGGGTAGGAATAGATAATCTATATCAAAGAAAGGTCTAACTGTTGGAGTATCCATTCTTATTTGATGCATTGCAGTCAGTAACATTGGTGAATTAGTTGACGAGTACGGAAAGAGAGGGATTCGAACCCTCGGTAAACAAAAGTCTACATAGCAGTTCCAATGCTACGCCTTGAACCACTCGGCCATCTCTCCTACATAATGATTATGGCCCAAAAACCGAGTGAATAGTGAGTCATTCATATTATTTTGGATAGGTATTATGTACATTCAATTTTAACTCTAAAAATAGAAAACTTTTCATCAAAGAAAAATCCTTCCTCCGAGGCTGGGGATAAAGATAAATCCTTTTTGGGAAAAATTGTAAAATAAGGATATATATCTATTCATGTTTGCGAAGATGGTGTTTCCGCCCTTTCTAATATTTATACCGGATTAAATCACTCAATTGAAACGAATCCAATGATCGATATATTTTTTTTAGACTGTGTTTAATGGATACCTTTAAATCATGATTCTATTTAGTTTACACTATTATTCAATTTTCATAAAAATTATAAAATTTCTTTCCAGTTTTAGATTTTTCAACAACAACTCTTTACTCCAACTTCTTAACCCATAAATTTATTCCAAATTCATGAACCGCCCCCGGATTTTTTTTATTGATTCCTGTCAAAAAGAAACAATTTGAGTAAAAGGTCTTCCTTTTTAATGAATCCGTTTTTATGTTATTTCGTACTGCACAATTCCTTTGTTTGTGGGATCATTTTCTCACGAAAGGGAATTAAAATAAATTATAGAATGGATTAATACACCTATGTCTAGATCTGGGATAAATGGAAATTTTATTGATAAAACCTTTTCAATTGTAGCCAATATCTTATTACGAATAATTCCGACAACTTCGGGAGAAAAAGAGGCATTCACCTATTACAGAGATGGTGCGATTTGATTATTTTTTTATTTTTTTATTTTTACCGCTCTCGGTCTTAAGAGAAAGACAACATTATTCGGGATAGGAAGAAAAAAATTATGGAAATAAATCTACGCTTGTTGAAGGTGAAGTTTGTAAATAAAACAACGCCTTCTGTCGTGTATCCCCGATTAATGCAGCCTCAGATGCTTCAATTGTCGATTCTAGAGTATTGAGCGAAAGGTTACACCTATGGGTTAGGTCAACCCTACTCCACTAGTACCAATAGGGTGCATAGGGGAAGAAGCACTACTCCTAGGAATCAACACACGAAAACTTTGTTATAAATTATCCCTTTTCCTTATCAGGATCGGGACTAACAATGGTTGGGACAACAAACATCCATCTCGTTCGTATTTTGGATACCCGTATAACCATCGAAGACTGTTGAAGTGACTAATTCCTGCAAATTTAAGGGCGTTGAAGACAAAGAAATTGTTGGAGTAACTTTTTTTTATCTAATACCAACATGCTTGATGTTAAGGAAAGATCTTCTACAAGAAGGTTGGCTAGAGATTTCTTGTAAAAACACCAGCCCCGCTTAGTTTATAATGAGAATATTTCAGTCTTTTTGATTCCATGTATTATTATCATTATGCACATAAAGGAGGAGCCGTATGAGATGAAAATCTCATGTACGGTTCTGAAACGGAGATTCTTTGAATCGAATGACGACCGTAACGGATGTCGGCTCAATCCGAAGGAAATTATGCGGAAGCTTTACAGAATTATTATGA